TATACACATCAATTGACTTTCATAAATTATAGATTCTTGTTGAGAAAGTTTAAAAGTATGTTTAAATAATGCAAAATTTTCACAGGACTTTTCATTCATTTATTCATTCATTTATTTATCCATTTTTTTTTTTTTTTTTGCTTGTTTATTACTTTAAGATTACTAGAAAATTTTAAAGTGAAATTTTTTAGACCGATCTTTACTGTTTTTGAACTTAGTTTTTGCAGCAGTTAAACTGTGGTACATTGAGCAGAGTTGTTTATTTGGCAGTCGCAACAAACCACCAACCAATTTGATTCAAAAACATTTTTGTATTCTCCTTTTGCGCTTTTTTTTTCTCATCCTTCTTCAAATATAAATTTCCGTTTTCTAAATCGCTGTCTTTCTCGTTTTTTTTTTGTTGTTTCACAAAAAAAAAAGAACTGATTTAAAATATTGGTTGTCACTATAATATGCTGTTTTTTTTTCTTTTCTGCTGTTTGTCTATATTTAATTGAATTAAATTAAAGTGTTCTTTTGAAAGACAGCAAAAAAAGAAGTTTAATATCAATGTACTTAGACTGAATTGTTTGACCCCAATGCTAGATAAAAATTCTAGATTTTTTTTATTTTTAGCATGTAATTTTTGTTTTTCTTCTTTTTTTGTTTATTAGCTTAAAATCAAATTGAAATTGTCAAAATTTGTACGTTTATTAAAAAAAATATTGATGTTATAGTTGTTTAAGGGTATTGGAAAAACAGCAAAGAAAAAAATAATTACCAAAAAAAAAAAACTGATATATTGGTATCATCTTATTTGATATCTGTTACTGTTATTGAAAACAGATGAATTATATGGGATACCAACAAATAATTGTTCAAATTTGTTTACAGGGTAAATTCAGTTGATAACCGGAACTGTAACAATAGTTAATGCTTATGCTTTTAGCATATTTTAATGTCATTAGTTTAGGTTATCGTTCTTATCTTTTTTTTTTTTACTAGAAATAACTTGAAATATTAGCAAAAAAAAACTTATTGGAGCAAATTTCAGTAGATAAAAAAGAATAAATTTTACTGGGATAAGTTGAACTGATAGCTAAAGTTGAAGCAAAAAAAAAAAAAAA